TGCCTTCCTGCCTTCCTGCCTTCCTGCCTTCCTGCCTTCCTGCCTTCTTTCTTCTGTGTGCGCATGTGCACACATGTGCGTACACGTGCAAACACTTGTGTACATATGTGTGTCCATGGATGTGGAGGTCTGAGGCTGGGTGGGAATCTTCCTTGATGGCTCTTCCCCATTTACTGAGGCAGGGTTTCTCAGAGGTGCTAGTGAATGTTAGGATGACAATTGAAGAAAGGGCACTAGAAATTCTTGCATGGAATTAAAAGCTAGGTGTGCTTCTGGACCTTACACCTTCTTTAAAATTCAGTAAATATGAGAAAGGGAAGAGAGAAGGGGATGACAGAAGCTTAAATTCTCATTTAGGGAATTGATTATTAAATGGCTGTTTTCTTGATTGTGGAATGATGGTCTTAGGTCACTCATATTTTGTAGTGTGAGAAGTTTTGCCAAGATTGATGGTGACCAAGTGATCTGAAGCAGAGCAGAGGAGAGTCCTGCTGGTAGCCTTCTGTGGTCAGGAGCTCTGCTTTTCCTCCTTGCATAATCTGTGAGAATAGTCAGGGTTCCCAAGAGTAGCTGTGTATGAGGTTCCTAAAGGGAGACACATGCTGCACTTGCTTTGCAGACGCGTAGAGCTGCTGTCTCAGAGGGACCCACTTGTCCACGCGCAGCTTACATGACACAAGGCACCTCTAAAGCACTTACTGCAGAAAACGAAATTAAACTGTGGTGAAGGTAGATTTGAAATTTGGATTTTATTTGTGAAGGTTATAAAAGACCGTTATAGTACCCAGAACCACAAGTGAGTCAATAAGCAATAGTTGGGAAGAGTATAGACTTTAACCTGTAATATATTGATTTGGATTTATCAACCCTTGGTTCCCAAGAATTATGGAAAGGCTCCCTGTGGGTTTTTCTTGTGATAGACACTGATCCCCATGCCTTACAGCTGAGCTATCTGTCTAGCCTTTAGTGATTTTTTTTTTCTTGAGACAAGGTATACTTAATGCCTTTTAATCTTGTATAATAGCCACCTAGGCTAGAGAATTTGAAAGATTTTTCTTCTCCTCAAGGGTGTTACACAGTCAGTCCAAGAGAGTAAGTATCACAACATTTCAGAAACTACTGGTGTGACTGTGCCCTGCTCACTGCTTTAGATTAGCTTCCCCTTCATATCGGACAGCACTGCCAAGGCAACCACAAGCATAATGAATGCCTGACTGTCAGAAGGGAAGAGAAGATGAAGGAAATATTAATACTTATACAGCTATAAATGTTTTCTGGGGTCTGTGTAGCTTAATCTCCTTTAATCCTCTTCAACACACAGCTGAGTAACTGTTATTTCAAATGGAATTCAGAATATAAGCTGTTATTGCTGGTGTAAGAATTTGAATATAGCCGGGCAGTGGTGGCACACGCCTTTAATCCCAGCACTTGGGAGGCAGAGGCAGGCAGATTTCTGAGTTCGAGGCCAGCCTGGTCTACAGAGTGAGTTCCAGGACAGCCTGGGCTACATAGAGAAACCCTGTCTTGAAAAGCAAGCAAGCAAGCAAGCAAACAAAAAGTATTTGAATATAATTCAGGGCTTTGTTCTTCAGTGCTCTTGTCCTTACACCAAGAAGCCTAAACTATGTGACATCATTTTAAGTCTTTTTAAGATTGAATTTGACTGCCTTTGAAAAGAAATATTATGCATTAGTTTTCCTTTAGGAAAACTCTTCCTTTTCTTTCATTTCCACATTATGTAAGATAATTACTTTTTAAACAAGGGCTACAGAAGGGAACCAAAAGTTTTAATTTTTTTATTATAGGTATTTTTTTCTTAGTTTTGCCCATAAATCCTTTTACTTTCTTGTTGGTTTTATACTTCCTGATTGTAGGCATCTAACATTTTCAATATCAGGCACTGAAACAGTACAGGACAATTTATGTTATAGTTCTCTTAAAAATATTCATGAAAGAAAAATTCACATTACCTGCAATGAAATTGGCTGTAATAAAATATCTGTTTTCATACTAGCTTCTCTATTTGAAGTTAAGCTTTCAAATGTCCATTGTTAATTATTATAGTTTCACAAAGCAAAAATGTTATTAGTGTGAAGTTTAAATAACATGTTTAATTGTGTCACTAGGCTTGCTATTAATGCTTTTGAGAGATTGCTAATTTTATATATATATAAAAGATTTTCCTCACTTGCTCCCTGAACTGAAAATTTAAGCTGGCCTCAGCACATTTCTTTATTGACCTTCAGGCACTATCATGGCACTCTCAGGACTGTGTTTGGTTTGGGATATCTCTCTCTCTCTCTCTCTCTCTCTCTCTCTCTCTCTCTCTCTGCCTCTCTCTCTCCCTCTCTCTCTCTCTCTCTCTCTCTCTCTCTCTTTCTCGCTTCAGAGTAGCAGAACTATGAGCTTGGAGATTATTGATGCAGTTTCTCTTGGAGGGTTTGACCTGTAATTGTGATTAATAACAGTTGTTTTCACTATCTGGAAACAGACAGACTGGTTTGTCTGCCTACAATCATGCTGTGATAAATGGAGCTATTTTAACTCTGGTTTTTGTGTATCAGAGAAAACAGATGTAGTCTGGAACTTGAGACTGAAGGAAATAAGAGTCTGCTTTACTTAATCTCCATAGCTCTTGTCTTTGTAGCTGATTTGCTGGTCAATTTAAACAACAAAGTTTGTATCAACCACATATTTAACTTGAATTTGGACTTACAATTTTAAATCATTAATTTCTAAAATTATTCTTCAAGTCCTTTGCCAATAAGTAAAATATTCTGATCAAATTTACCAGTCTTAGTTGAAATATTTGATATCTGAGCAAGTCAAGGCGGTTATTAGCTTTCTCTCCCTTGGCAGTCAGTGTAGAAACCAGCAGCATCAGAAACACTTGAAGGAAGAGAAGCTGAGCAGAGCATCTGTTGGGAACCTGTAGTGTGAAACAGAAGGTAGGAAGGCAGGAAAGGAGAAAAGAAAACAGACTTCTTGGCCATTGCTTGGTTCTCTGCTAGAAATGTTCAAAAACAGAGTCAGCAAGAATACATACAAAAAGTTAATTCCGTATAAAAATTAACAACAAATGCACAAACCCAAATTTAAAACATAACAGCATTTACAACTGCTAAAAAAATGAAATAAATGTGAATCTAATAAAATACATAGGCTTCAATCCAGGAAAATATACAGGCTTTGTAATTTAAAAGTTACAGAATGACAATGGAAGGAACCTAGGAAGTCCTATGTAAATAAATGGAAGGCCTATTCCTGTAAAAATGTCATTTCTGTACAAACTGGTCTGTCTTTTAAAGCACATTTCCTATTAGAATTTTGGCAGGGTTTTTCTTATGGATCTGGGAAAGTTAATTCTAAAATTTATGTGATAAGACAAAGGAACTAAATAAAGTAATTTTGAAAAAAAGACAAAAATATCTTTCTGATTTTGAGCCTTATGTATTGTAGTTTCAGTAATCAAGACTACAGCGCTAGATCTATGGAATAGATAAGAGAACACATAACTTTGTCCACACATCTGGACTCAGATTGATAGGGACACTCCAGTGGAAATGGTTGGAATAGCTGTACATCTGTAAACACATGTGCATGTAACTACACACAAAAGAACATTGAACTTAATCTGCATCCATAGAGAAATTAACTCAAAATGGGTTATTATCTTCAATGTAAAACAGGAAGCTCTAAAACTGCTTGAAAGCAGTGCAGGAGAAAATCTTCAGCCCTATAAACAAGCAGAGAATTCTTGGACTGGATAAATAGCATAATCCACAAAAGGACAAATTGGTTAACTGGACTCAACTATAAAAAGATGAAGATGGAACAGTCTGGATGTCTTTCAGCCTGTGAAG